GCAGAGTCAGGATTTAAAAGCGCTTATAAGCGCTTATGATCGCTTTTCTACCGCTTTTCCTATCGCCCATGGCCTGGTTGGCAGGAATTAGAAAGCGCTTATAAGCACTTTTTCAATGCTGCCCCTAGCCTAACCTGGTCGGAACAGGGGAGTGCCCGGAATTAAAGAGCGCTTATAAGCGCTTTCTCAATGCCCCTTAACCTGGTAAAAGTCGCGTAATTTGACCAAATTCGTAGATTTTTGTCGTATTATTTCGGACACTTTCCTTGTAAGTCTATGAGTAAGCTCACCAATTTTTGTTGCAATCGGAGGTCGGGAAGGATACTCAATATCTTTTTGTTTGAAGAAAATTGTGCTGGCCGAAATTAGCGCTAAAAACCATACTACTATACAGTCGGCACGCGCGGCTCACTGTCGATGGCGGACTACCTATCTGGATAGAGCAACGGCAGCACGTGACTAAAAGTAAAACGGTTTTTGCCCATGTAACTCTCCAGGGAAGTATTTTTACCCTACTTCATGGCGGGTGATTCGGGATCAGCGTCCAAAAAATACACCGATTCAGATCAATATCATACCCAAAGGCCTTTTCACAAGAATTTTCTTAAAATTTGGGCGAGCGATTTCGTAGGAGCGACTCAAACGCGCAAGCTGGCGCGGTTTATTTGTTGCAGTTTTACTACAATGGGGTGACATATGTTTTCGTCACTTCTGAATGCGCGCATTTTAGCGCGCGAGTTTGCGTGCACGTCACGTGATATTGTTAGCAGTGAGTGTAATCACGAGTCTGGAGAATTTGTCTGGTACAAGGCCCAGACCCTTTGGCATATCTGTAGTAAATTTTTTGGCGATGTAATATCTATGACCAATGACACCACTAAAAATTGAGGAATTGGGAAGTGTTCACAATATCCAACTTAGCATGGTAAACTTATGCTATCTCTGGCTGAAGATTAACAACTCTAACAGTATTTATTTTAATCAACTGAGAAACATTTGGTCTTGTTACCGGCTTTTACTAATTCGCTCGCCCAAAAATTTCACGTGACTTTGGTTTTTATGGTTTTGCAGCCGTACAAAACGGTTTTACATAAACCCTAATCCCAACCCTAACCCTAACCATAACCCCGAAGCTATCCATAACCCTAACCACAACCCTAACCCTAACCCGAGCCCTAAACAATCGAATTCATGTTTTATTACCATGTCACGTGACCAAAACGGTTTTTTGCCCATAACTCTCCAGGGAAGCATTTTTACCCTACGTCATGAGGGGTGATTCGGAATCAGCGTCCAAAAATACACCGATTCAGATTACTTTCATACCCATAGGGCCTTTTCACAAGAATTTTCTTAAAATTTGGGCGAGCGATTTAGTAGAAGCGCTTGTTACCTCATAAATTTTATCGAAATCGAACGATGCAGTACAAAAATATTCCGTTTTAAACTTCATGGTAATATTGAAGTAGAAAAAAGTTCGTCGCTTGCTATTAAAACATGTGCTCCTTCATAAATAGTATCATTATCGTGATCAAACCTCTTATTTATATTTATGGGCCTGCCAGTCTCTTCTGAAGCACGAATGAACTTAATTTCTACTATCCGAGAAAAGTTCAGAATTTTCTCTAAACACCCATTTTTGAATTTTGTAAATCGGTGGTCCGGAAGCGGAGTTATGGTTTAATGAAAATTGTTAGTTTAACGCTGTTTGTATTGTCATTATCAGAAGTGACGAAAACATATTATGTCACCCCACTGTATCTAATAACCAGATTTTACAAGCTATCTCAGCACGCGCGCGGCTTTTCTAGCGTATACATTACTTTTTTTCCTATTGGTACTCAGCGTGCTTGACGGATGTTACTCGTCTAAATTTCTTCGAAGTAGCGCGCGCCGCTTTCTTCTCGAAATATTACTTGCCCGATGGCAAGTGCTACGAAGTAGCGCGCGCCGGGCCAGACCATTAACAATGGTCAATCAGCGTGCACGTGTTTTTTATGTCCACGATTTGCGATTGATTATGAACAAGTACTTAAATCATAAATGCTGGTCACCAGTCACGCACACACTAACTTTCAATGAGCACCGCACTTTTTTCAGACGTCGTGATTCGCTCAGCCCGACTAGAGATTCTTTGGAATAACATAAACAGGCCTGTCATACTCGTTGACAGACTGAGCGTGGCCCAGCGCAATAATTTAATTTCATATACTATACTTTTCTTTTGCAAGTTCTGAATGTGAAGTGTGTATGACTGATGACGCAGCGGGCATCGACCGCCACCGTACCAGGACATACATACTATGGTGGCCGAGGAGGGTCATTTTTAAAAATAAAATAAAAACCATATACTCACGTGGCCGAGGAGGGTCATTCGGCCGAGGAGGGTCATTTTTTAAAAATGGCCCTCCTCGGCCATGGCCGAGCAGGGCCAAACAATATGACGAAAATGGCCCTCCTCGGCCATCGCCGAGCAGGGCCAAACAATATGACGAAGAAATGGCCCTCCTCGGCCATGGCCGAGCAGGGCCAAACAATATGACGAAAATGGCCCTCCTCGGCCATGGCCGAGGGGGGCCATTTCTTCGTTTTAAAAAAAAATGACCCTCCTCGGCCGAATGACCCTCCTCGGCCACGTAAGTATGGTTTTTATTTTATTTTTAAAAATGACCCTCCTCGGCCACCATACAGGACAACCGCCACCATTAACAACATATAAATAAACGCTTGCAAGCGCTTTACAATTTCTGACAATTATTGTCGGAGAACTTTGCCGCGCCGTGCACTTAGCCTTTTTGCTTGGCTTCTAGATCGCCAGTCAAACAACTATGTTTAAATCCATGTTGATAAATGATAGATAAAGCGGTAAAAACCAGTAATAAAAAGTGATTGTAATCGCTTATAACCGCTTTTCAAATCCTGACTCCCGCCAGTGCATGACAGGTTTAGGGGCATCGAGAAAAGCGCTTATAAGCGCATTTAAATTCCGTGCACTCCAGGTGAACGGATGTTCAGATTTGTGCTTATAATTGTAAGTTTATAACTTACCAGGACGCACGCCGAGTTGGACTCAACGTAATATTTGAAACAAATATTTTACGAGTATCGCCCGTTAAGCTTATAAGCGCTTTCCAATTCCTGGCACTCTCCCTTGTAAGCGCTTTCTAATTTCGGGTACTCCCCCGTTCCGACCAGGTTAGGGGCAGCATTGAAAAAGCGCTTATAAGCGCTTTCTAATTCCTGCCAACCAGCCCATGGGTGATGGGAAAAGCGGTAGATCATAAGCGCCTATAAGCGCTTTTAAATCCTGACTCTGCCGGTGCACCCCAGGTTGCTCAGAAAAGCACATACGAGTGGGCACTCTGATCTCCAGTTCCGACCAGGTTGAGGGGAATTGAGAAATCGCTTATAAGCGCTTTTTAATTCCGGGCACTCCCCCGTTCCGACCAGGTTAGGGGCAGCATTGAAAAAGTGCTTATAAGCGCTTTTTAATTCCGGGCACTACCCCGTTCCGACTAGGTTAGTGGCAGCATCGAAAAAGCGCTTATAAGCGCTTTCTAATTCCTGCCAACCAGGCCATGGGCGATAGGAAAGCGGTAGAAAAGCAATCATAAGCGCCTATAAGCGCTTTTAAATCCTGACTCTGCCGGTGCACCCCAGGTTGCACAGAAAAGCACTTATAAGCGGGCACTCTGATTTCCAGTTCCGACCAGGTTAAGGGGAATTCAGAAATCGCTTATAAGCGCTTATTAATTCCAGGCACTCCCCCGTTCCGACCAGGTTAGGGGCAGCATTGAAAAAGCGCTTATAAGCGCTTTATAATTCTTGCCAACCAGGCCATGGGTGATGGGAAAAGCGGCAGAAAAGCGATCATAAGCGCCTATAAGCGCTTTTAAATCCTGACTCTGCCGGTGCACCCCAGGTTGCACAGAAAAGCACTTATAAGCGGGCACTCTGATTTCCAGTTCCGACCAGGTTAAGGGGAATTGAGAAATCGCTTATAAGCGTTTATTAATTCCAGGCACTCTCCAGTTCCGACCAGGTTAAGGGGAATTGAGAAATCGCTTATAAGCGCTTTTTAATTCCGGGCACTCCCCCGTTCCGACCAGGTTAGGGGCAGCATTGAAAAAGCGCTTATAAGCGCTTTTAAATTCCGGGCACTACCCCGTTCCGACCAGGTTAGGGGCAGCATCGAAAAAGCGCTTATAAGCGCTTTTTAATTCCTGCTCACCTGGCCATGGATGATAGGAAAAGCGGTAAAAGCGGTAAAATAGCGATGAATTAGCCGTTATAAGCGATTTCTAAAAAAGCGATTATAATCGATTATAAGCGGTTATAAGATGTAATATAGCGTTTTCCTGACTCAATTTTAAAAGCGCTTATAAGCGCTTTGTTTGCGCTTTACAAACAGCTAAATTGCACCCCACTTATAAGCGCTTATAATCGCTTATAAATGGTTCAAAAAAGCGCCTACGAATCGCTTATCCGGCCAACCGCTTATCCACCCGTTTTTGGCGCCAATCCTACTGGAAAACCGCTTTCAAATCGCTCAGCGACGCTAGTAAGCGCTTAAAAGCGCTTATAAGCGCTTTTAAATTCAAAAAAGCGCTTTTTTGAATTATGACATCAATTATAGTCGATTATAAGCGATTTTTTTTGAACCGTTTATAATCGTAAAAAAAGCGATTGTAAACGGTTTTTTTTTTAAAAAGCGCCGAAAAAGCGCTCAATAAGCGATTATTGGCGACGATCATAAAATATCGTTTATGGAAACTTGCCTACATTTGTATAATAGGTCTTTCAAAAATATAAGTCATCAAATATTTAAGAGACAATCTAGTGAGCTGTGAGAGTAAAACGCAGAAGCCATAGATTTCTACAGTTGGTGCCAAAAACAGGTTGACAAATCACTAATCATTGGACCAGTCGAATGATGCATCTGGTCCAATATATCATAATATAAAAATACATAGACCTAATAAATCGTCAACGGTCAATAAAGATACTAAAAATCTTTATCAATTTGTTTCCTACTGTTAATTAACCAATCAGCCTCTAATCTAATATTCTGACTAGGCATGACAAGACTCAGCACACCACATCTAATACTGTTGATGTTATGTTATCAGCTGGTGACTGGGGACGAGGCAGCCTGTTACAGCAGGTCGGTAGAGGAGCCCATAGTGGACAAACCTGGTGATTTTGTCATCGCTGGTATTTTCAACATCGGGGAGATCGAGGAGACTCAGAACCCGTGAGTTTGTGAATTTTTTCGTAATCTCAGATGACGACTATTTCTTGAACAAATTTGTATGGTTTTCTCTTTTTCTGCGATCATTTTAAAGAGAATAGACGAGAGATGTGTCATCTTAGCACAACAATTGCCAAACAAAACAGGTGGTGCAATGTTATTGGTAAAGGTCTAACTGTTTTTATTGAGTTTAGGTATATAATATAATATATATATATTGGATTTTTAATCAAAACCCCATCTTCCCAGTAAGACGAACGAGACAGAGTTATCGTGCGTGCTATCAGGAAGTAACTTGTCTTATTGGAGTCTACAAAGGGCACTGAGTTTCATTGAGATCCTTAACAACTTCAAAACCTCACCTGGCTATACACTTGGTTATAAAATCTTCACTGGGTAAGAGAAATAACAGTTACTTTATTCAACCTCTCAAATTGTGATTCTGCAAACGTTTTAAAAACATACTTCATAAGCCTGAGAGATTTCAACGATTACATACAGGGTGGCCCAAAAGTGACTACCCACACGCAACCTTTTAATAACTCACGTTATTCGTCTTCAAATTACACAAAAATTTCAGAGATTATAGATATAGGTCAAACTTAGATTTCCTGAAAGTTTCGTAAACCACGCCCAATTACAGTGGGCGTGGCGTGAGACTCCCTCTTTTTCACTATTGTCTTCATAAAATGAGAACGCTTCAAGCTAAGAACTCCAAATTTTTTGCACACATTTGGCTTGATAATTTAAAACCTTTCCCAAAGTTTCAAGTTCATTGTTAAAAATTTGGCTGAGTTATGACCATCTCAAAATTCATCGGATACGTGATCCGAGCACTCGGTCAGTGATCTCTGCACTTGGTTAATGGCCTGTTTGGCTCACATGCACCGCTTGATTGGTTGCAGGGCTTGTTAGCCCTGCTAGTCACAGGTTCGTTCCTTAAAATCGATAAAAAGGAATGAACTATCCATTGAATCATCGAAAATGGTTCACTATCCTCCCTATACTGCGGAACAACGATTGTTTGTCTACCTGAAGAAAGAGAATGGGGAGTTCTGCCCTCAGCTTAAACGACAATTTCAAATGAAATTCAACCGACCATCCCCTTGCCGGAAAAGCTGCTTTGATATGCATCACAAGATCAAGTTCACTTTTTCTGCAAACGATCAGCGAAGAGTCGGCAGAAGACGAACTGCGAGGACCGAGGAAAACATCACCATGGTTATTGGTGACGTGATGGATACACCTAAAATTGGCACCCGACAACGAGCTCCTGTCTTAGACCTCAGCAGAACATCCCTTAAACGAATCCTAAAGCGAGATCTTTCTAACCGGGCCTATCGGATCACAAAGAAACACCAACTTTTAGACCGTGATTCCTGATTTTCCTGAAAAGTTCACGATCTGTTGCGCCATCAGTTCTCGTGGAATCCTAGGACCTAACTTTTACGAAGAATTTGGTGTTTTCCTGTCTAGCAAAGTCATTATCGGTATCCAATCAATCATGATCAGGTCGTCATCTCCTCAGTATGTTTGGTAAAGCCTAATGAACCTCATTAATACACGCTAACGCCTTACTCTTGAACAGATTGGGTGACGAGATCACTGATTGAGTGCAGAGATCACTGACTGAGTGCTCGGATCACGTATCCGATGAATTTTGAAATGGTCATAACTCAACCAAATTTTGAACAATGAACTTGAAACTTTGGGAAAGGTTTTAAATTATCAAGCCAAATTTGTGCAAAAAATTTGGAGTTCTTAGCTTAAAGCGTTCTTATTTTATGAAGACAATAGTGAAAAAGAGGGAGTGTCACGCCACGCCCACTGTAATTGGGCGTGGCTTACGAAACTTTCAGGAAATCTAAGTTTGACCCATATCTATAATCTCTGAAATTTCGGTGCAATTTGGAGACGAATTACGTGAGTTATTAAGAGGTTGCGTGTGGGTAGTCACTTTTGGGCCACCCTGTACTTGTTAGGGATGGCAATCTTAATAATGAGGAAATTTTACTAATCATTGTGGATCTATTATCTCCTATTTCTATTATCTCCTATTTCTAATAATAATACAAAATGAATTAATGTAATATATTATATGGATCAGGTGCAACAGTATGGTGGTATCCCGACTAGTATCACGTGCTATCTCACTAGATGACAGAGTGACGGGGGCCCTCCTCCCTGGCTATAAGAAACACGTGGAACCTCTAGCTGGTCTTATCACTGCTTACAGTATTCCTGCTGTCAGCTATATCTACGCTGATGATGCCCTCATGGACCAGGTAAAGAGCAGGGCCACACCCTATCCATATAATATCTTGCCAGTTCTTCCCTTCAACTCTCTTGCTACAGCTAGCGAAATGCTGCTTTTATTCCACAAATATATCAATTATATCATGGAGAATGTGGAGAATGTGGCTAATAACACACCGAAAGTTTAAGTACAACCTCACGAATCAGGTAGTAATGACAAAAAAATAAAAATGGAAAATCGGGTACTCCTTATTCCTTAAACTTAAAATTCAAGATAAATATTCAAACTCGTTCCGTCTAAACTGTTCGATCCCAACAGGATAGCTACCCGACAATGATAACGTTGTTAGACACGGAGAAGAACGAAGCGGAGAGCATTATCCGGTACCTGGAGAAACAGCAGTATCAGTTTATAGACGTGTGGTATCATGACTTCTCTAAGGAGGTTGCACACCACATCTACGATAACTACGTGCTGAAGGTGAGCCCCCCAGAAAGTAAGGACCTTATTTATATTGTTTTACTCTTCAGTGTGCTTAACTAAAGATGGAGGAACGGGGTTTATTATACAAGTTGTCTGTTGTTAGCATGGCTCTACACAGCAGGCCACATCCCATCAAGTTAAAACCACCCCATTAAGTTTATCACATTTCATGAGATTATCACGGGAAGATGTTTACCAGTGCACACTGCACAGTCATCTTGAGAACTGGACTAACTTGTCATTTCAGGTAGGTTGTGGCCGTATTAACGAGTACACAACCAGTTCTGGGATGGATATCGACAAGATCCTCCCCTTAGTCTACAGCAACACCACAGGTTACACATTAACCCGTTACTATGATGCTAAGAGTCGTGTTATTTGTTGACAGGACTGAAGAGATCGTGTTATTCATACAATTTATAAATTCTTACACGAAAAAAAAATCGTGGTCTAACTTTTAACTGTCCAACCTTTGCAGTCGATCCTGCCAAAGTTCAACTCCTACTTTTCAACAACAAGAAATCAGCCAGCAACTTCCTCAACCTAACAGTGAATCAATTGCAGTGGAATAACACCATTTTCATGTTCGGGTACAGCAATGGTCGGGACTCTTACATGGACTATTATCTGAGTGCCATTGATTGGAACTCAACTGTGACTAACACGTTAATCTTCCTTGGATCGGACTTCTTAAATGTGCAACTTGAGAACTTCTGGGGAAAGATAAGCGACCCAAAACTACTTCGTGACGTTCCGGAGAATTTAGCACTTCTTGACCCGTGAGTTCCTTAGATCAGTACGTTATCAAACTGCTAAAGTTCTCTAAATTCTCTAAATATTGGGATTATCAGGAGACAGGAGTTACATGCACAGTGATTTACTGATACTGTTCTTTACTGATATCTGTTTCAACCTCCTGATTTAGATGCATTCCAATGAATTGCAGGTACGAGGTGATACGAGAGAGACCCATAATTCCAATGCATTGCAGGTACGAGGTGATACGAGAGAGACCCATAATTCCAATGGATTACAGGTACGAGGTGATACGAGAGAGACCCATAATTCCAATGCATTGCAGGTACGAGGTGATACGAGAGAGACCCATAGTTCCAATGCATTGCAGGTACGAGGTGATACGAGGGACCAATAATTCCAATGTAATGCAGGTACGAGGTGGTACGAGGTGACACTAATTCCAATGTATTGCAGGTACGAGGTGATACTAATTCCAATGCATTGCAGGTACGAGGTGATACGAGAGAGACCCATAGTTCCAATGCATTGCAGGTACGAGGTGATACGAGGGACCAATAATTCCAATGTAATGCAGGTACGAGGTGGTACGAGGTGACACTAATTCCAATGTAATGCAGGTACGAGGTGGTACGAGGTGACACTAATTCCAATGTATTGCAGGTACGAGGTGATACTAATTCCAAGTTGATACGAGGTGATACTAATTCCAATGTATTGCAGGTACGAGGTGATACGAGAGAGACGACAGTACACCACACAAAAGACAAGTTGGCTAGGATTCTCTATGAGTGGGACATCTCTCCTAGCCCAGTCCCTTGATACTGTCCTTCAGCAGAATACCAAACATTCCTGTGCTTCTGAACTGAGGAAACGCGTCTTTGAAACACTCTCCACAGGCAACTACACTGTTTCTCTGGAGAGCACTGATTTGGGGATTAACTTTGTGAACAGGTCCTACTCTAAGGGGTACGCAGTTAAAGCGGTCACCGCTACAGGGAATAACTCTATATCCACTCTGCTGGGTTACTCTTCCCATCTTGGTATCGAACTACTGAACGAGAGGATACCGCAGAATCTCAGCTCGACACCAGAACAACAGTCCTGCTCGGTAACCTGTCCCCCAGGTCAGCATCGTGACTTTATGGACGTGGTAAACTTGCCCTGTTGCTGGAAGTGCGTGAAGTGCCCAATCCACTACTACAACAACAGGTCCGATCAGAACAAGTGTCTGGAATGCGGCCCAAACGAGACGAATTCCGATGATTACATAGGTTGTGTTCCTACTCATAGAGAGTTCCTAAAGATATCATCTAGATACGTGATCCTTGGGATAACCTGCAGTGGTCTCAATCTCGTTGTCATCACCTTTGTCATGATCCTGTGCATAAGACTGGCATCTCGACCAGTCATCAAGGCTGCTGATCCTGCATTTTTGGTAACATTCCTCTTAGGGCTAGCTTTTGGGAACTTTGGTGTGATACTCACTCTGATGAAGCCCTCACCGAGGGTTTGCACAGCGGAATTTATCCTCAACACCGTGTTTTTCACTTTGGTGACATCAAGTTTAGAGCTGAGATCAATGAAGATCTACACAATATTCTCAGCAGCAAACAACTTCAGAAAACCAAGATTCCGGGGTCTTTGTACACGGAGAGGACAGATGGTGATGAACACAGTTATCTTGATAGTAAACCTTACAATAACAGTATTTGTGGTGGAGATGGGTAACGGTTGGAAGTTTGAGCTAGTCCAGGAGCAGATCCACAGGGAACTATACGTCATGTGTAAATCAGGCAGTTGGTTAACATTCCTGCCCTTCATCATCCCCGGATTCCTCTTCCTACAAACACTTTACTTTGCTGTTATAATGAGGAACTTCCCCCACAACTTCAGAGAAACTACCAGTATCTTTGCAGCGACCCTCATCGCCATCTTCTCTTCCGCCATGTTCCTGACCGGGTATGAGCTGTCCCCACCCAAGAACAAATCAGTCCTGAGGGCCATCATGATCTACATATCAGTGCTGGCATTCCTAGGTTCCATCCTGGGCCCCAAGTTTGTGGTGCTGATCAGGTTCAGGAGCAGTGCTTCAGAAGAGAAGGAGGAAATCAGTGCAACTTTACACAATTATTGCAACACCGTCAGCACTAAATCAATTAGACATACTGGTAAGACCATGACTAAGGTTAATGGGGTGAAGGGAGCTACTAAAACTAACAATGTTGTCACCAGAGAAGCTTCCCTGACAATATCCAGTGATTCTGAATTACAAGTTAGGAATGCAAGTGTACAAGAACCTGATGTTCTCAACATTGATTGTTATAATAAATCTGCAATCATTTAATATAACTGCTCAGTCCCTGAAAAACTGTTCACAGATTTTAAATTCACATAATGTTTTTAGATTTAAAGAAAGTGAGAGAGAAAGATTTTTGGTTTGTTTCGTTTAAGAAATTCGAACAGATTTTATCAGCTAATTAAAATCAATTTTGTAACTGTGCAATTAAATTAATAAATAACTAAACGCTGATGTAAGTCTTTCATTAACTCGACAACCTATGTTATATGAGTTCTGTTGTTCAAATGTTTTACGAGCAGTGTACTTCTGCCGTTTTCTGACAAATGTGCTTAAGTAACATTTAGGAAATTTCGGATTTTTTGGTCTAACTTTTGTTTTTGGGTCAAGAACTATCCCTGAGGACCATCGGATACATTCGCCGACCCCCCGAAACCCCCTTTTTGGAACCCCCTAAAATGCAAAAATTTTAATTTTTCTGAGAAAAGTGCTTAAGTAACATTTTGGAAAACAGGTGCCGTTTATCTAAAAAATGGTGCCATTTCGGGAACTGAAAATGGTGGTATTGTTTTCTACGTCCAAAACTGGCCTGGTGACGGCAATTCGGTGATCGTGGGTCTTTTGGCCTGAAAAAAATAATTATTGCACTTAAGCACTTTTGTGAAAACGAGCTCGTTTTCTCATAAAAGTGCTTAAGTGCCATTATACTTTTAATTAAATGTTGATTCTGTCACTCGACTTAGGGCGGCTTCAGCGTCCGAACAGAAATAGTCTTCTTCCAAATCTGTCTATCCAGCATGAGTTTGTTAATCTCTTTGCTGTCGTCAAGCCCCGTGTCCTTCCGAAAGATGTCAATGTATGTGAGATGTGGTCTTTTACTTCCCCTTCGACGATGTCCTTGAAGGGGTTCCCAAAAGAGAAGTTGATGACTCAAAAGTTCTTCATGTCTGGCTAAATGACCTGCGAGTCTCATCCTCCGTGCAGCTATCTTATCAGATGCTCTGATGAGGTGTCCATACACCTTGGCGTTAGTCTGCCGCTCTTTCCAGTCAATGTTCAGTGCCATCCTCAGCATTCTCGTATAACATCCATCAATACGTTTAGCGAGGGTCTGGCTGACATTCCATGTTTCAGAGCCATATAGAAGGATGGACTCGACTGTAGCCAGGAACAGTCGTATCTTGAGATCTCTACGCATATCCGACTTCCATACAAGCTTCATCTGGTGACACGCTCCCCATACCTTAGCTTTCCTCACTTCGAAGTCCTTCTCCGAACTCTTCATTCTACTACCCAAATATACGAAGTCATCGACTTTCTTCAATGTTCTTCCCACTCCCAGCAACCAGAGTCGGGTTATCATCATCTCTTATGTTGATTCCCATGTACTTAGTTTTCCCCTCGTTGAGGTGGAGTCCAACTGAGTTGGCCGCCAGTTCCAGACTCCTGAGGAAATCTTGTGCCTCCGCAACACTATCTGTTATAAGAGCAAGGTCGTCAGCAAAGTCCGCATCAGTGACCTTGACTGCCGGATAGCGACGGCTTCTTCTAGGGTGTAGAGTAAAGCTATATAATCGGTACTTAAATTTGGTCATGATTATTGGTGAAGGTCATAAACTTCAGAAACGCTAGCTTCGCCGTCAAAATTGCCAATTTGTCAATGCAGAACCTTTCAAAATATACTTCAAAATTTGCTTTAAAATTTGTATTCTCTAATCAGTTGAGACTGCAGATTTTTAGCTTGTCTGACCTAAAATGAAGCAAATTGCTATTGCTGGGAGGAAAGATGAGAAAGTATCTTCAACCTGGGTCAAAGCTATAAGGTATTTTGCTGAAGGGAGAATTGGTGAAAGCCGGAAAATCATTCTGTGGGCAGACAATTGATCCGCTCAGAACTTTTCACTGCGTTATGTTTGTTTATAAACAGCCCTGACCTCGGGCTTGACTTGACCATTGTTAATGATCTGGCCCGGCGCGTGCTACTTCGTAGCACTTGCCGTCGGGCCAACATTTCGAGAAGAAAGCGGTGCGCGCTACTTCGAAGAAATTTAGACGAGTAACATCCGTCAAGGGCTTGACACGATAACAGTGAAATATCTGGAGCAAGGCCATACGTTCATGAGCGCTGACTCGTTCCACCATAAAGTGGAACTGTTCATCAAACAGTGCGGACAGCTACATAATTATGACTTGAGGACTTTGGTGGTGCAATGGAAAAGGTGGGTACCGCTGTTTCTATGGCCTGTTCGGACTTTCATTCTTGGCCTATAAGGTCATATGGGACAAGCAACCGCTGCAAAACAGAAAGACCACTGCTCGAGAAGGTGAAGGTTATCAGGTTTCATCATGGCTCGGTCCAAATGGAATGGAAATCAGAGCACAACGAGGTTTCCTTCCGTTCTGCTCCATTTCGGCGGCAGAAAGAAGAGAGATTGATCCGGTTAGGTATAATCATAGCTTTCCCACAAAATCAATCACGGGGTAAAGCAAGTGCTAAAAAGAAAGATATAGTTCAAAAACTTTGTAGACTTATGAGCCCCCCCCCCCTCTATATAAATAGATATATTCTCGATAGTATTGCCTGAATAAATAGTATCTGGAGAGAAGATTTGTAGGATACAATACTTGAGTAGCAACAGTGTGCCTCGTGACGTGTAAAGCTGTAGGTACTTCGCACGACAGTCGACAATAGCTGGATAACGCAATATTGTTCACACACGTTTCGTGTATCAATTACAGTGAATGGGATATTGACTTTGAGTAGGGAAGGTTAGGACATTATTGGATCTTGTGATATAAAGTAAGAATAGCTCATCGCATGTAATACTCAACAAGCTTACTTAATAATAATTTCAGCGTGTCCCAATATTACAACCAGTGTTTCATCACAACAGTTTAAGGCTAATTTTTCGTCTTATTTTCGATGACCAATGGTTTGAACGGATAATTTTCATCAGAACATGGAGTTTTTTGCCGATGTGGCTGTACTGAAGCACTTTTATCAGAAAACGAAATTTTCAAATTTTTATTTCAGCGTATCCCAATATTACAACCAGTGTTTCATCACAACAGTTTAACTTTTAAGGCTAATTTTTCGTCTTATTTTCGATGACCAATGATTTGAACGGGTCATTTTCATCAGAACATGGAGTTTTTGCCGATGTGGTTGTACTTAAGCACTTTTCTAAGAAATTCAAACTATAATTTGTGATTTTGAGGCACTTTCCGAGAAGTTAGGATAATGAAACCTTGTCACAAGTCTCAAAAGTTGACAAAGCACCTTAGAAACATGTGGGTGCAGTTTAAATTTGACAACAGCTAGCCCAGAGCAATTGCAGAATTGAAATCTTTAAAGTCAATTTGCACAAAATGAACCTTGTGTTACTTAAGCACTTTTGTCAGAAAACGGCAGCAGTGTACTTGAAGGTTGGAATGTGAACATATCAATTTTGTTAATGTACTATCACTTGGCTCCTTGAAAAGTGTAATACAGTTACAAAAAGAGGTCTTTATACAATACATTCAACAGAATGGTTTATGTTTTGGCGTATTCTAAAGGAATATGTTTCACTTGTTAATAAGTTTACTTTTGAGTGTTGATTGATTGAGGAGCACTACCCGAAGGCATTACTCGGCACTAACGCCTTAAAATCTTTAATTACAATCAAATATAAATATATGCACACAATGTATAAAGTATTAATAATGTATAAAATATGATTATGCTATTAGCAAATTTAAATAGTACTATTAAGAATTTTAAATAACTCTTATCTCTTGACATAAATTTAGAACAGCGACACAGGGTCTGAAGAATGCGCGGTGATATTTTTATCTTTTAAAAGTTGTAAATGACAGTGAAATTGCGCGGTGTCGATAGCATTGTAAAAAATGCTCGAAGATAGTCATATTTTGTTATGAGGTTAAAGTTTTGTTGCTCGTTATTATGATCAACGTATGTTGTACCAAATTATTTAAATTTCTAAAAGTACGAAATTTGAGTTGTCCCAGTCCTTGTCATCCGGTTTATGTGCTTGTGCAGTAAGCACATGCTTGTTGACTGTAGACTTGAATGAATTTAGGAATTTGTCTTGTAGGCAAGTGGTGACATATTTTATGTCCTTGTTAATAATGTTGACTGTTTGGTTATATAACTTAGGCCCAATGTAAGAAATGCTCTTGTCTGAATTACATAAACGGTTAAATGGTACTGCAAAGAACTCAGGTTCTCTTCTAGGTGCGTTTAAGTTTGAAACAGTGAACATTCTTATAATATTTGGTGGTGCAGTGTTAGAATAAACTTTGTGCATTAAGCATAATATACATTTAGCTATTATTAGGTTTGCGTCGTCAGCGAAATAAATATGTTTAGCTAAATTACTAATCTGAGGAAGGTCGTTGATGTAGATTATGAACAGAATTGGTCCGAGAATGGAGCCCTGTGGTACTCCGTAGTTAAGTTTGAGGTGAGAGGACTTGCAGTTGTTGACGCTCACGTATTGCTCTCTATCGGTTAGATATGAGTGAAACCAAGATAAAGCCAACCCCCGAACTCCATAGTGCTCAAGTTTTCTCAGAAGAATACTGCTGTCAACCATGTCAAAGGCCTTGCTGTAGTCCAATAAACATGATACATAAACGATCATGAAACAAGGATAATATCCTGACTGACTGATTTCTGGCACTGACCGTGTAATTACTGAGCACTTTTGTAAGAAGAAAAACAGGAGGAATTTGAAATGGTATGAAATATGACACCTCATAATCGTACGACTATTCTTCTCAAAGTTAGATTTGAGGACACATTTTTTCATGAAAAGTGATTAGCATTTTTGAAAATTTGAAAAGCAATTTTTTTGACACGTTATCTTGCTCATAGAAATTAGAATAAGAAAGAGACTAGGATATGAATAGTGATTGCAATTTTTCACATTTTTCTTGCGCACTGCATCATGGGCAGCACCACAACCTACTGCTACACAGTGAGAATTGTTGGAACCTGTTTTTACTCTAGTTGAATAAGTGGTACGGTGCTGGAGCATCCCTTTTTGATCGATACTTGGGGGGGGGGGGGGGGGGGGGGGGGGGGTATAGCTCGAGTTTAGCTGGAATTGTTTCGCTGTAGCTTAAACTGGCACGTAATAACCCGCCTATATTCTCGTTGAAATATCTATCAATTAATCGCATTTTAGGATAATGATGACCCAAATTCTCGACAACCCGAAGAACGGTTCAAACCTGGTCGAAATGAACGATCACGAAGTACACCTGATTCTAAAAGGCGCCTGCTATGAACTAGCCCCACTCACCATTCCACTGTGCTCCATGGTATTTGCTCAAAACATTGTTATATTCACGGACTTCTA